GATAAATGTATATATATATATATGTTACTGTGAATGACCGATATTTGGCGAATGTCGAGATTCTCCGGTGAATGTCAACATTCACACAGTCGTTTCGTGTATGTACGAAATATTTGCTAAATATCATTATTTCTAACTTACACCGGCAAATGTCGACATTCAGCATGCACTGATGGTGAATGTTGAATAAAAATATTTTTATTACGTTAAGACAAAAATGCAACTTTTTAATATGTCAAAATAGGAGAAAGCTTAAGTAACAGCACATATAAATAAATTGTTGAACCTAAAACAAACAGTACATTCTAAATCATTAAAGAAAATAATACAATAATAAACTTACACATAAATTATGTGATTAACATTATCCAATCGGTTAATATTACGTATGGTTCCAAAATGGATGCGCTTCCGACTGTTCGTGGTCCAGACGGACTCCTACCGGAGGGGAGCCACCGGCAGGCCGCAGAGTGCCAGCTTCACTATTTATTGATTCACGGTAGTTCTTGAACAAAATAAATAATAATAAAAAAAGGAAACGTCTACTAAAAATGTAGTTAATCTGACGGAAACAAAACGAACTTACCCGAAGCGCGGCCATTTTGGAACCATAGGGAACATTAATCATACAATCTTATTTATTGCAACAACTTAAACTGTTATGGGACTTTGAATTGCACAAGAGTTCCTTGCTTTACAACTGCATTTGTTCGTGGAACACATCCTTTTGCAATGACAGCGTGTATAGCCTTGACCTCCACTTTTCGAATTAGCTGCAGCTGCTTCTCTAAGCGATATTTCTTGAGAAGAAGCCTCATCTATGGAAAGTAACGTATCTTTACAAATTACGAACTGATTACGGGTATAAAGCTGCTTGAGGGTACCATTTTTGTTTGCTAATTTATAAAAGTCGGAGCCTTCTATTCCAACAACAACCGCCAACACATTTCGGGCATCTGTACGGCCACGGTCGATATCAGGGACTTGTATTCGTACGGTATCACCAATTTGAACAGAAGGAAACGGCGAAGAATTTGGCGACAGACTGTTGCCTTTCTGTCAACATCGGCTTCTCGGGTATCGTTTCGACCTCCACCAAGGCTTGTCTGTGCTTGTCGACATACACCGGCGATTGTTCGAACGTATAATACCTTAACCAAATATTCGGTCTTTCACCGACGTATTTTGTATCTGTCACCGGAGAATATCGACATTCTCTAATTTCGGTCTTTCACAGTAACATATATATAATTAAGTTTTAAGATATAATTTAAGATAAATCATTTGAATGCTGTAATTTGAAATAATTTTGTAACAACTGTATGTTTTCCTATTGTAGTTATGTATTACCTGAAGAGGGGTGCATGTGTAACAAATTTTGCACCCGAAATGCATTGTATTGTAATAAAACCTAACGGATGTAATCCTTAGGAGTTTTGTCTCTGATAAAATGTGGTTATAGATAAAAAAACGACGGTTGTTTTCTGTATTAACCTTTGAAGTTTTTTTAATCTTTAAGAAGTTTTTTAAAGGTTTGATTTTTTAAATATATACTGTTTCAATTTTCTAAAAGAATCCCTTAAAAATTTAACCGTTGGAGCAAAATTTGGAGACACTTCCCCTTAATCATAAAGAATTTCGGGTATAAAAGGAGTCTCATAAACAGGATCATTCCGCATATTAAATATAATTAGTTCTAAACTACAATGACAGTCAGAAGTAAGTGGTCAGATGAAATAATGCCAAGTGTTATTTTGTGTTACCTGCCGATGCAAATTTACCAACAGTAATATGTGAAACTATACAAATATCCAGAACAATAATATAATATCAATTATGTTATCGTGTTTCCCCGAAAATAAGACAGTGTCTTATATTAATTTTCGCTCTGAAAAATGCGCTAGGTCTTATTTTCAGGGAATGTCTTATTTTTTCCAGGAAGAAGAATTCACATTTATTATTGAACAAAAAAATTTCCAAGTCGAACTTAGACAAAAGTGACGAATATCCGGTGTGTCGAACTGTCGCCTTTTTATAGCGTCAACATCGGACTCGATGACCAATTAGTGCTTACTGAACCGTAGCACTATGCAAATGTCATGTGGCGTGTTCCCGGCCGACCAATTAGCCATCACCAGCCGTAACGTTATGCAAATCTGTGATTCCCAAGCCATAGTCTTATGCAAATCATGCCGTGTGGCGTAATTGTCTGTTGACCAATCAGTGGCTGTACTTTCAAAAAGCCAACGGCCACTTTCAACCATCTGTCGATGACCGTTACCACTAAAAAAAACTTCGCTAGTTCTTACTTTCAGGGGGAGGTCTTATATTTCGCAATTCAGCAAAATCTGTGCTAGGTCTTATTTTCTATGGATGTCTTATTTTCGGGGAAACACGGTAGTTTTTGACAGATAATAATCTGAAAATTTAGAAAACAATGCTTAACAAAACGATATACTCAAAAGTAAGTAGTCACACAAATAAATCGGTATACAAATAGGAGAAAGAATCAACCTGATCAGTCAAGGGCGTTTTAGCATTGCTAGAGAAAGCACAGGAGAAGTTTCAGTAAAATTACGCCGTGTTGGACAAATTTGGATAGAATAATCAAGCCATAAGATGCCAAAATCTGGAGAACTTTCTATGTCTGAGATCGTCGTGCTGGGGAAAAGCATCAGAGCAATCGTGAGAGAGAGAAAAATTTATCCTTCAAAGATGTTCGCAAGATTATTAAAATGAAGAGATTCGGCACCATACAAACTCTTCATGGTTCTGGCTGACCATGTCATGAGAATTCCGCATCATTCGGCGTAAAGCGTTCGCTAACCCGCATGCTTTTGCCCAGGCTATCCGGAAGAGCTTTGGCGTTAAGACATATTTGCCAACTGTCCGTCGTCAACTCAATGAGGTTAATTTTAACGGATGCATCGTACGTCGAATGCTGTTCATTTTGAAGGTGAGCATTACGAAGAGAAGTCTTTACAAAGAGCCTTTGCAAAGGAGCATTTAAAAAAACCTCAGTTTTGGAGCAGTGATTCGATGAGACGAATCGAAATTTCAGCTTGCAAGCTTGAGATGGTGCCAAACAGGGCCGGATCATCGCATAGACAAATGAGACAAATGTCTAGGGCCCGGTTTTTAGAAGGGCCCGGTCAAACTGTCTATTTTGAAAAGATTTGTAAATAAGATAGATTACTCTTCTGTTGGACAACTGTATAATACTGGTAAAACTGGTAAAATATTATATTATTTAAATATTAACCAAAAAGGTTAAATTAAACAAGTAAAACGGCAAAACCGTATTTGGGACACGACTATGTCTCGGAGACACTACTAAGCGGAATCACTTTGACGCTCAAAGCGGATCTCTTTCTCATTCTCCAATCTTCTTTGGTATCGCTGCTTTTGGGCGCGATCGTTCAAACTTCGCCAGCCACGACCACGAGGTCGTCCACCATGCATTTTCGATGAAATTAACCTATCCAATTTCGAAATTTCTCTCCGTTGCGTGTCGGCCCGGGTTGAATTTTTGTCGATGCCTAACGAAAATTTCTCGTCTTTGAAAAAAATAATCGTGGCTATTGTATCGTCCGAAATTTTTTTTTTTATTTTGCACAAACAATATACAGTTTAACCTGATTATAACGTCAAATTTTTACTGGTCCCACGATTTTACTATACTAGACAATGTTAAAAAACCTACTTGTAACGACATAAAACCCTGTTTTAATGTCATATTTGAAGCACTCCCAAATTTACAAAATTAGATTACAAATTTTATTTAAGAAAGAAAATACTACGTGTTCAGTCCTAGGGTCAGAGTCCATTTCCTTGAACGACTGTGGGTGGTACTCTCACCACCTGACTTCGGTTTGCCTGTTTGTAGAGAGAGTCGCCATTTTGTATTTTACTTTCACTCGGTTCTCGGTCCCGAGTACCTACAAGTCAGGTTTTTTTATGCGCGCATGATTTGGGCACTTAATACTCTGTGCCAAATTGCAACTCCTGACATGTACTCCTTCATACCTCTAAGCTGGTAACACAGCAAGCAGTACGATTTTATAAACAAGACATAGTCTTGTTGACAATTATTTTTTTTAAGGTAATATTGTTATTTTACAACAACTTTTGTTAGACATTTAATAAAACAAATTTCAATATTTTAAATTTATAAACAAACTGTTCAAACTTTTCTAGAAAAACTAAAATTTATTGTTGTGTATTAAATATTTTTTATTAATAAAAATTTAAGAATTTTATTATTAATTTGTTTTAGTTTTTCACATTATTTAGTTTTGTTTTATTTATTGTTTTATATTTTTTGTGTGCTCTATTTCTAGTGTGAGAAAGGGGGCCCCGTAAGAAGAAAATGTCTAGGGCCCCAAAGTGGGTTAATCCGGCCCTGGTGCCAAATTGTGTGGCGAATGAAGAACACTACCTACAAACCTGCCAACTGTGTTGGGACTGTAAAGCATTCCCAATATATGATGGTACGGGGGTGTTTCTTTCGTCGTGAATTTGGCCTTCTAGCAAAAATCAGCGTTGCATGGTTGCGAAAATGTATATGGCAATATTAGAAACAATCTTCGTTCTTCAGAGGAAATTTGTAGTCATCAACAACGATTTTGTTTCATCACAACAACTCGAAGTATTTGTCCAAGCTTGTCAAGTATTTCTTGGCTTCCGAGGGGTTTGAGGTACTAACCTGGCCCCCCAATCCGGATTTGAATCCTATCAAACAACTTTGGGAGGAGATAGATTGAAAAATCCTAAAATTTAACAGAGAAAGCAAGCAACTCTATTAGACGACCTTATTCAATAAATGAAGCAAGATCAACATCGAAGTTCTCGAAAAACTGGTGGATTTGATGCCATGGCTTTTATAACCTGTCGGAAAAGCCAAATGTGGGGAAACGCAGTATTAATCTCTTGTTTATTAACTGTATGTGGAATAAATCCGGTGTTATTCAGATTATCTACTTACTTTTGACATCGGGGTATATAAAAAAAGTCATTTATTTAAATAAAATAATAAGTGTAAACTTAACAATGATCGCTGAAAACATATGGGTCTTGCGTAGTTTCGTAATTTAATCCAATTTTTAACAAAGTTTAGTTTGTGCATGCAAACGCGGCATTTTTCTCCACTTTGCATTCTAACCACTTCTCACTGCCATTGTATATAATTACAATCAATCTATAATTATATAGGACTATGTCTATATATAAAGAAATATTCAGTTAGAATAATCTCCCGACATAATTGAATCTTCAAAATAAATAATATAAATTATACTTAAATGTATTTTTATTAAAATGAATAATGAATATTCACCTGTTAAAGTAGGAGTCACGAAAGCTCCACAACCATTAAAGAAAGTCATTAGACCAACTGCTGTTGGTAAATTGTCCAAACCTAAATACTCTTCTAATAATGCAAAAAACACGATTAGAGTACTTCCAACCAATACACCATAAATTACAGCAACTACGGATAAATGAATGTAAGTTCTCATCCACGGTGTTATACTAAGGATGGCGCCAATAATGATCATGGTAACCATAACTAAATGTCTTCTTTTAACAAATCCTCGGTCAGTAAGCCATCCAGAACTTAACCGGCCCACCATATCAGATATAGAAAAAGTGGAAATTAAAAACGATGCATCATTTTCTTCTATTTTTAAATCCATGGCAAAATCCACAATAATCATTAAATATGTCATATAACACAAGAAAAATATTATATAATTTAAAGATATTATGACAAACATTGGGTTTCTTGCTACCATAATCATCATATTTACATGCTGAATGAATATGCCGGATGATTTATCTTCCTTTACTTCATATTGAGAATTTCTTTTAATAAATGGATCTTCAACATTTTTATAGTTTTGATATGATTCAGCTCTCATAAATGTCATAGTTTCTTCTTTGAATATATTACATTTATTCTTGTTGATTGGAGGCTTCAATAGGGCTATTCCAACTAGTGAGTTTAATATAATCCCGCTCATAAGTAAAAAACAGCCGGATAACGCATACTCTTTTAACAAATAATCGATTAATGGCGGCATTGCAAATGATCCAATTGTTGCACCTGCACATGCGATGCCAACGGCAGTAGTCTTGTGTTTAACAAAATATTGGTTAATGATAACAGGAAGAAGAGTCATTAACAGGCCAGTTCCGAAACCTAAAATGATAATAACTTTTAATTATTTATTATAGAATGTGTTAATTATAAAAATATAAATGTTCTTTTTTGTAAAATGGCTTACAAGAATTTAAGATATATTAAACAAGGAATTATAGTACTGTACATATTCTATTAAATAAAATTAGGAATTCAGAGTAAAATTAATAACGAAAACTATAATAAAATATACTTTTTTTACAGTAGAAATTTGTTTATCCGGCACCCGACAAACCGGAATGTCAGGTAATCCGGATTTATAGCTTTCGTCAATCGCATTTGTACATTTTTTAAATCATATGTATACAGTAGACTACTTGTCTGGAAAATAAATATAAGCACAAGAATCATTGTTAATGTTAATTTTGTGCAATAACGTGTTCATTAATGACCGTTTTTGCCGATTATCCAATCAATCACATTATAGTCAATCACTGTATCATCTCCTGATTGATTAAAAGCATTAAAAGATCCTGATATTAAAAGCAGACAAACAAATTGGAGGCATGCAAACAGAGTGCATCGATATAAGGTGTATAGAAATATCTGTAACGTCCGGCAGTTTCTGCTATGTAGCGATGGTAGAAACCTCGATTGTCAAAGGCTATGAATAACAATTCCATGAAGGGGTCTTCTGTGAGTTAGTTTAGCCACTGACAGCAGGCGCTTATCAAGAATATTTTTATTCCGGTTTTTCATATTAGCCTACGAGATGATTTAGTTGTTGTTTTTATATAATTGTGCAAATTAATTATTGTATTCAATAAAGTTAATAACTTAAAACAGTAAAATCAAGGATCATATGTTCCATTGGTATCTAGATAATCAGACATTCGAATAATGCGGTCTTGGTGCAAAATAATAGAGATATGTAAAAATACTGTTATAAACTTGTTATACATTTTTCTTCGTGAAATTAATTAGTACTATGAGCAGCCATAACCATCATAAACTCATCGCACAGCACTATCATTCGAATCGCATTATGAGGTAACAAAGAGAAATTTTGATATAAATTTTTATTTGGTCACTTACATCATTTCCTATTTGAGTTTTAGGAGTCACCTAAATTAGATCTCGGCTACTATCTTAACACTCCCAATGAGAATTTCATTTACATAATCTCGTAGTAGGATTTGAATAATGAATGGAATCGCATCCCACTAAAAATTTTAGTTCCATATATAAACAGATAATTATTTAGAATTTATTCCTATAAATGGATCTTGGTAGAAAAACAGGGAAGCAAAAACTTTTCTTGTAAGCATATGTAGTATGCAAGATCAATAATGTTTAACCATTCCGCCACTGATGGGCCATAGTACAAACTGAGTAGAGAACTTAGAGGAGGTAAAATAATTTTATAAACTCAATTTGACCATAGTTTTTAAACACAGTGTAATAAAGTAACAGTATGTTTGCTTAAATAACTAGTGCTTAATTTTTCCCTGGAAGCAGAAGTTAGAACTACTAAGTATCTGATAGTTCAATCAATGTTAACTTGCTTATAATTAAAATTTAAAATAAATTAAAAAGTAGACAAATTTATAAAACAAAAATTAATAAAGTTACTGAAAAATTAAAATAAATTTAAATTTGATTATTTTTTGTGAGAAACAACACTAAAACACTTCTTATAGTTATGTCTCAAAAGAAAAACGTTGCAATTAATTTAAATAAAATGCAATGGTTAAAAAACTGCAGGCAAAATTAATGTAAAATTAAATAAATAATAATTAACAAATAAAAATTATTAAAAGTACTTATAAAAACTAAAAGTAAATTAATACTAAATAAATTACTGTTCAAATTTTCAATATTGCTATATTATATCTGTAGAGCTTATCATTACTAAATAAATTAAACCTAACTATTAATTAAAACTATAAAAAATAAAATAATAATTAAAACTCTGGCCTTTACACCGAAATCGTAACTACTATAAAACTAAACCTAAAATTAAAAATAAAATAAAAATTAATTAATTAAAATCAAATCAATTGAAAATTAAAACAGTGTTTTTAAAAACCGTTTAAAAGTTGTTTTGAAATTTTCAAATTATAAATCAAATTATCAATAATTTTTAAATTTACGTCATTTGTGAGGGGCGGTGACGGAACATTTTGCTTTTTATATACTGTATATACAGAACAGATTATTTTACTATTATTGTTACTTCGTAAAATTGACTTTCATATATTCTAGAATCTAGAATATAAGTCCACCAAGTATTAATGTAATTTGTTCATTAGATCTGGCTTCAATCAACAACAAATAGAGGAAGTTTAATTACGGCATAATTATACAATTATATAAGTTACCGAGTACATTCACACTATTCACAGTATACGTGTAATGTATTTACGCGATACATCCTAGTCATATAATTAATAAGTGTTCTAATGCAGTATGTTAATTGTTTGCATTGCACGAAAGTACTGTATATGCGTACGCCTATGTAAAATAATAAAATAAATAAAATCTGATAATATTTATTTATTTTACATGCGTTTAAAATTTCAAATTTTGCATAATAATAATACTATCATTTCTCCTTTTGCTTTTCGTGTCAATTGATGCTTTTATAGATCATATTTTCCGCATCACGAGTTGTAGTTAATAGAAAGTGACCGTTAATCAGATGCTGGATAATCGAGTATCTATTGTATTTTATTAAAATCAGATTATACTGATGGTGATTTTAATAATGACTGTTCTATCATTATATCAAGTAGATAACATTGTTATTTTAGTATAAATCAATAACATTAAAATGCCGAATGTCTTATTGAATTTTACTTTCCTGGCTATTATGTATACATAACTAGGGGAAGTATTGGAAACGTCAAATTTGACCATCCGAATTTTTTGCAAATCTGCACGTTTTTGAGGCTTCCTGTAAACAAAAAAGTCAAAAAAGGAAAAAATCCGCGCGTGTGTGTTGGCGTCTATTTCGTTTAATATCTCAGAATGGGGTAAAGATAAAAAAAAAAGGAAATTTGGTACGGCAACTTCTATATAAGGGGCATTGGTTAAATTTTGGTGGTTTTTATTATTGTTAAAGGTCGAGGGGTAGGGGAGTTGAAGGACTGCAGTCGGACTTAATGAATATTTTACTTATTAGCATTTACAATTTTTATATAACACAGCTCTACACTCAAAATTAAGCTTTTTGCCATTTTATAATGATTAAAAGTATAGAAAGTTTTTATAACAAAATCTCATAACAGATGGCGCCAAATACAATTTTATTTTTGTTTTTTTTTTCTTATCGCATTGATGCCATTTCGATAGGAAAATCGAGCGAAGGAGAAAGATAAGATGGAGGAAAAGTCGAAAACAACTCTCCAATTACTCGAAGGTAATAATTAAACAGTCGTAGAAGAATTCCGCTCTGTAATTTCGCCAATGTAATCCAAGTTGTCACATCGAGTGCGTCAAAGGCACGTCCTCCAGAGACTATATCCTACCAAATCTCATTAACCCGCTATCAAAAGTCTACCAAAAATATCTACTTCGTTTCGATAACTCTGATTGAATCTCCTATTTTTGTTCTCTTTCTTCTACCAGAACCTTCTTTCTAAGAGCCATTAGTTGTAAATTGTTAAGGAAGCTCAATATATATATAGGTTGGTCTAAAAGTCAGTTAACCATTATGAGGCCTAAATAATTAATCTCTTTCCTCGAATTTTGTAAGAGAAAAAAACTCATTTTAAACTCTCGGTTTATTTCCGCATAAACTGTGTTAACTGACTTTTAGGCCACCCTGTATCCTTACCGTGACGTAAATGACAGCATCGGTTGATTCTTCTGGGAATATGATCCTAACATTGTGAGTGGGATCGTGGTTTGTCCTGACTCCATAATGCACGCTTGTGGTGTTACAAAATCCACCCAGTAGCAGTCTACAAGAAGAGAAAAGTACATTATTTATCTTTCATAAAGTGATAAGTTCGTGCAGTTGCAGCAAAATCCGAACATTCNTACAATTGAGTAGAAATACATACATCACACTACAGAAGGCCACTATATTGAATACATGCCATATTGTTAGGAAATTCCTTAATACAGACACTGACACACACATTTAATTTTAGTTTTGTTTTGGTTGCTATGCCTTGACTCTGGTCCGGCATAGTACACAGCCACCGGTTTGTACCGAGTATAACCCACTAAACCCAACACATAATAATAATAATAATAATAATAAGGCAAAGTACGTTAATCCCAGACCTACGGGACCAGAGTGTCAGATTTCCGTAGTTTTTTCTATTCTCGAAAACTTCCATAAGTTATATGCAATATGATCATTATGGACATTTCTATGTGCAGTACAGTGAATAGATCACTTCTCATAAAGACCATTTTTACTTGAAACTATTAGTGGTCACAAAGTAGGAGTTCTACAAGTGCACGGTACAGTACACTTTTGGTTTATTTACACACGCTTTTTAATCAGTCTGAAGATGATGCAGTGCAACACTATACTGCATTAACATTAATTGGAAAAGCTTGCTAAAACTTTAACGAACACGTTATTGCACAAAATTAACATTAATAATGATTCGGGTGCTTATAATATTTATTTTCCCATGTGCCCAAAGAAAGAGTTAAAAATGAAAGGAAAAAAAATAGCCCATGATGTGTTCAAACAAATTTTGATGGCGGAATACAAGCATGCAAGATGATTATTAGGCAATTTCGGATTGTTGGCTACTTTTCAGAGGGTGTCCGATTAAAGAATTTCTACAGCAAATTGTTTAGTAAAAGATTTTTCCTTTAAACAAGTATCAAGACTATAAAGTTTGTAGGCTATTAGTAAAAACAACCTCTTACTTAAAAAAACTTTAGAATAAATCATAAATATCATATATGAAACTATTTTGCGAAAATTATGAATAAAACTCATTCAATTCAATTTTCTCCATAATTAGACTTAATAAACAAGAATGCAACAGGAAATGATACGATCTATACATGAATGTGATATTGATAC